GCAGAGATCAGTAGAAGAGTAAAGAGGACTTGGTGGAGTTGAGGTAACTCTTGAGGAAAGTACGGTAGATGTGGAAGGTAGTAGGGGCCCATACTACTGAAAGCAGAGGATCCGTACTCGATTCAAGAGGGGCCGAGGCAAAACCAAGGAACTAGTAGAGTGTGTGAAAGATCCCTCAGCGGTAGTGTGTAAATTGATCAGGAATTGTTATATTTTCAGCATGGTGACGTTGCGCGAGATATCAGTTGGCAGTTCAGGTGCAGGGGAGGGGTCTGGCTCGGGCTTTAGAGCCGGGCAGCTTGATGATCAGATGAGGGATTTCATTTCCGCAGAGATTATGCGCAACATCATTGATCAGACTCCAGTGATCTTCGGTTCAGTTAGAGAGGCCATTGTGGAGCTCATGGACAGTCATCTTGAGGCCTTTAAGGCCGGGATGGTTTCAGGACAGATTGAGGCTCGTCTAGGTCCCGAATCTTATGGAGTTTAGGGATCCATCAGGGAGGGAGATCCCATTTCTAGTTCCTGCCATCGGGGGGGCAGGGGTGAGTGGGGTATTCTGTCTCCAAGAGAGACCTTTGCATGATTGGATAGTTGAGGAAGTTTCACGAGCCATTCGTGAGGATCTGCCCGACACGGTTGTGAGGACCACTGATAGATTGATAGCGAGGGTCCAGGATCAGACAGTTGCTGTTCAGTCAGCAGGCGTTGCCGTTGGGGTAATGCAGGAGCGAGAGCCGGGCAGGGGGTCGGAAAGGAAGAGGAAAATGGATGAGACTCAGGTAGCCACAGGATCGGGTAAGAGACCCAAGGGTTTGGATTTGAGGACGAGGAACTACCAGAGCCGCAGTCGATGCGGGAAGTGCGGAAGGACGCACATGGGTGTGTGCAGGCGTAGGAGTGGTGGCGATGCCGGATGTTTCAAGTGCGGCCAGATTGGCCATTTTAGCAGGGATTGCATTATTACCATCGCCCAGGGACTTGATCGGATATTTTTCCATTGCAGTCAGAGGGGCCACAAGAAGGCCCACTGTCCGAGTTTGTATTCAGCAGGGCAGGCGCCAGCTCCTGCCCTTGGGACTTCAAGTACCGTCAGTGGTTGTCGAGGCCGGGCAAGGGTGCCTACGGCTCGGAGCCGAGTTTCTCCGGTAGATTTCAGCAGGGATTCGAGCAGCACTGAGTAATGGAGGTATGTAACTTTGTTTTTTTTTCTGTCAGCTTATGTTATGATTATATTGTTATGGTTCTGCATCAATTGTGGTATAAGTGTTGTGTTATGGAGTGGCTTGCTTGTGATTATGTTATATGCCATTTGCATACCTCGGATAATTGGTTGGTAGTTAGGGGATGTGCTCTTATGGAGAAGGTTTCGGAGGATGCAGTAACTGTAGCATGGTTGGGAGAGATTTGGTTTGTTTCGCTAGTTCGGAGTGGTTAGTGTTTGGGATGGATTGGTTAAATTCCTACCTGGCGGCTTGGGTTCCCCAGTAGATGTTTTGGAATGGTAGTAAAGGTCAGGATCTCTTTTGAATGTGAAGCAGCAAGGGGTAAGCAGGATCGAAGTGGGGGAGAACCCTCCGGGTATACATGGATAAGAGTCACGTAGACCCAGAATGAGTGCCGGCCTTGAGAAGAAGTGGTAGTAGCACAGTGATGGATGGATTGAGAAGTTCAGAATTGGGAGTTCGAGAACTTTTCCCAGCAGTTAGTTCATGTAATGGAGAGGGTTAGAAGCTGGTTGGGAATCCAGGATTTGAGGACCACCTGTAAAGGCTCAAGTGAGTCGGAATGAGGATCCGGAGAAACGGTTAGCAGGAGATGTCTTCGTATTAGTAGCCAGTGGCAGAGCCAGCATGCAGGATTATGTGGATTCAGGAGTTGGGAATTTGGAAACTTCCCAACAATAGCTTCTTATATCTGGATTAGTAGACGGTTGTTTCGAGAACCAAGCCGAAGAGTTCCTCAACGAAGCGCTGAGCATTCAAGGATATAGGATGTCGAGGATGATGCAGTAATTCAAAGACTGAGAGCTGGTTTTGAGAAATCAGGATGAGGATTCACGAGCAGGACTATGGATAGTCAGGATGTCCCCGGGATAGTAGTAGTAGTGTTGTAAGTCTGCGGGGGTAGCCGTAGCATTCACTAGCAGTCAGATAATAGTAGAGTGTTGTAAGTCTGCGGGGGTAGCCGTAGCATTCACTAGCAGTCAGATAGTAGTAGAGTGTTGTAAGTCTGCGGGGGTAGCCGTAGCATTCACTAGTAGTCAGTAGTAGTAGTAGTGTTGTAAGTCTGCGGGGGGTAGCCGTAGCGTTCATTAGCAGCCAGATAGTATTTGAGAGTTGTGAGTCCGTGGGTGTAGCCGTGGCTTTTATCAGATTGGTAGCAACATGAGCGCGTTGTTGAACGCGGGAACTTAGTAATTCCCACCCGTTGGGGTGCAGCAGTGGGAATATGGGAATCCACGGGTTAGATTCGGATTTCCCAAATGGTTCAGTTATGGCTAAGTCAGCAAATTTTGGCTATAGATCGTCACATCAGTTATGAGATCAGAGTAGCAGTGGACCGTTGGGGTTCGGGTATGTTAAGGGCTACCGTCAGTCTGGGAACCATCATGTTGTTAGCCATGGAATGGATGATGTCAGGATGTGATGTATGGACTCAATCGGTTGGATCGGAAGGTTATTAGAGCCACAGCGACAGGATAACTAGTGGAAACTAGTTCCAGAGAAAGATTTCGTTCAGAAGTCGTGGAAGCGACTAAGTGAGGAGTCCTTAATTCCGCGTTTGAGTCGGAATTCAGTGTTTCAGTCAGTTCAGTGTCTCAGGCAGTTTAGAGTTTCAGGCATGATCAATATTAGTATTTGCGTTGTAATGCAAGTGCTGGCGGTATAGTTGGTTGATTTGGAAATGGCAAGTCTCTCTCAGCAGGATCAGTTGAGCCTTCGGCCGAGTATAAGTGATATGTAAGGATAGCTAGGCAGGTAGCTTTTCTTCAGGATGAAAGGTTCGAGTTAGTAGGAGTTGAGTAATCAGGGAGAGATAAGCAAGCTGGTTCCAGCAGCATCGATTCAGTATGGATGGCAGAATGGATAGAACAGTTATAGACAGTCGAGGTATCTTCCGGAGTCGCTGGGAGCGGCTAGGAGATTGCGATGGAGTGTAGTGACCGGTGGGAGTTCGGTAACTCAGATATTGGCAGAATAGTTGAACAAGGGTAGTCTCAGTGCATCCAGTAGGCAGATGAGAGGCAACAGGATTTTCAGTCGGAGGAAGTAACGTTGAGGAAATTATGGAAAAGAAAAGGATTCAGTATGTACCAACGGTAGTGATCGGCATTGTGAATGGCTGGAGTGAAGGACAAAAAGGGTGTTAGATTTCCCAGACAAAGAGTTGGAGGCAGTTTGCAGGCAGTTGGTCATAGCAAACTTCGAGGACGAAGTTTAGTTTAAGTGGGGTAGAGTTGTAACACCCCAAAGTTTGGAAAGCCAAGAAAAGAAAGAAAAACCTCAAGTTTAAGGGGAGACTCGGCGAGTCCATGGAGGGACTCGGCGAGTCCGAGCGGGATCCGGGTTGTGGTGTAAGCGACCGACTCGGCGAGTCGGCCAAGGAGACTCGACGAGTTGGGTCTGAGCGAGGAAAAACCCTAAATCCGGGATTTGGAGCCTATTTAAGCGTCTCATTCTCTTTCCTAGGGTTCCTTTACTGCCTCTCTACCCCAGAACACCAAACCCTAGCTGCCATATCCGTTTTTGAGCTGGATCTTGCCTTGTAGAGTGCACTAAAGCTTGGAGAAGGAAGAAAAGCCTTGGAGGTGCAAGAAGGGACTGTAGATCCGAGATTGAGAAGACATTTCAGACCAGTTGGAGGTAATAAGCTGTTGCTTGGACTCCCTTTGCACCTAGATCTATTCTTATATGTGAGTTTTGGTCATTGTTGGTATGATATGTAACCAATCCGAGTTGGAGGTTCAGATCTGAGGTTGCTACCTCAGATCCATGTTTGTTTTGGTCTTGAATCCCCTAAAGTATCAGCCCTTGGTATGTTGAAGAAGTATGTTTGCCATAAACCCTAGTTTAGGGTGTTTTGAGCCTAGATCTCTTAATCTACACGTAAAGTTTGCCACTTTACGTGGGGGATAGTCCCTAGAAGTATGGATCTATGAGTTGGAAACTCTGTTTGGCTCGAAAAGCCACTGCATGGATTGAGGACTGGATAGACTCGGCGAGTCCTTCGAGTGGACTCGGCGAGTAGCTTGAAGATGAGGAGGAACTCGACGAGTAGGATGAACAACTCGTCGAGTCGGATGAAGTTAGGCATGGACTCGGCGAGTTGGATGAGCAACTCGACGAGTTGGTTGAAGATTGTCTAGGACTCGACGAGTCTGTTCTTGGACTCGGCGAGTCAGATCGCGAAACCCTAAACCCTTCGAGTTGGGGCTCGAATCAGTGAGTCGGGTGGTGATTCAGCAAGTTGGACAGGACAGGACTTGGAACTAGTTGACTCGGTGAGTCTTGGACTGACTCGGCGAGTCGAGTCGCGAATAAGAAAGACCCAGAGCATATGAACTCGGCGAGTCAGTAGGTAGACTCGGCGAGTAGGGTTGACCCGGAAGTTTGACTTTGACCAGGATTTTGACCTTGACCAGAATTGACCTAGTGACCTTTGGAGGTCAGTTGGACTAAGTGTTATATTGATATTGGTAGCTCGAGGAGCTAGTGGAGCAGCAGTCGAAGTCAGAGGTCAGGTAGCAGTCAAAAGGATTAGCAGCAGCAGTTCAGCAGCATCAGGTGAGTTTCCTTCCAGTAGGGACGGGTCTAAGGCCACAATGCCGGCCCGTTCAGTTAGCAGTAGTTTCCGGACTTCGATCCGATGCAGTAGTTAGTATGTTTGATGCCTTCGTGGCTCAGACAGGATTTATGTGTTATGTGTTATGTGTTATGTGTTCCGGGCTACGGCCCGATGTAGTATGCAGTATATGTGTTCATGCTAGTTGATATGTTATGCTATGCTATGTTCAGTCAGTTAGTCCGGACTTCGGTCCGATGCAGGGGACAAGGTCCCAATCAGTTTCCGGACTTCGGTCCGATGTAGGGGGCAAGGCCCCAGTTAGTCCGGACTTCGGTCCGATGCAGGGGACAAGGTCCCAGGCAGTTTCCGGACTTCGGTCCGATGCAGGGGGCAAGGCCCCAGTTAGTCCGGACTTCGGTCCGATGCAACGGACAAGGTCCCAGTCAGTTTCCGGACTTCGGTCCGATGCAGGGGGCAAGGCCCCAGTTAGTTCGGACTTCAGTCCGATGCAGGGGACAAGGTCCCAGTCAGTTTCCGGACTTCGGTCTGATGTAGGGGGCAAGGCCCCAGTTAGTCCGGACATCGGTCCGTTGCAGTGGGCAAGGCCCAGTATGTGCTTTATATGTTATTGCATGGTATGTGTTAGATTGGGGGAGCTCACTAAGCTTCGTGCTTACGGTTTTCAGTTTCGGTTTTAGGTACTCAGTTTTCAAAAAAGGAGCTCGGGAAGATTGCAGTGCACACACCATAGTCAGATAGCCTGGGAATGTTTGAGTCTGATAATGATATTATGTTTTGAATTAATAATCGAGAATTTATGTTATGACTTATGATACAGTTTTTCTAAATATGATTCTAGTAATGTTTTTAAAGAAATTTTTGGGTTTTATTTTTGGGTCGTTTCAGTTGGCTTGCCGACTCGCCGAGTCCCTTTCTCTATACCCAAGTCTTAATAGTCCTGCATCCTACTCGCCGAGTTTTATGAACAACTCGCCAAGTTCTCCTTCATCCGAAGAACACTCTACGTTGTGATTCGCCAAGTTGTATGAGAAACTCGTCGAGTCTGCTCTTGATCTAAGAAGATTGTCTTAAACTCGCGGAGTTAGGGCATTGACTCACCGAGTTCCTTCATGGATGAGTTCGGCTTCCAACTAACCAAGTCCACCCCGGACTCACTACACTACTCGCCATAACGAAAAGGGGGAAAACTCGGGGTCTCGCGTCTCGACTCGTCGAGTCCGATGAACGACTCGCCGAGTCGTTACCATGCAATTACTATATGGTCGATTCTGTTCGAATCCAGCTCATGTCATACATAGATCCGTGATCCTGGGGCTTGATTTATACGTAAAGTTTCCAACTTTACGTGTAAATAGGCAACCATGAGAGTTTTAGGGTCCAAAATGCACCAAAAAGGGTAGATCTAGGGCTTTCATGTAATATGGTTCCAAAAAGATAGTAGATCTGAGCTCCTGGAGGTCAACCATGCCTAGATCTAAAGGTTAATCAGCTTATTACGAACCCTCAAACCTACCTAAGCTTGGAAATGGTTCAAGAAGGACATTAATGGAGCTATAAGGGACGATAAGCATGAAAACAAGGGGGAAAACAAGTTATACCTTAGGGAACACACTAAGATAGCTCAAAGATGCTTGAACTCCTCTTCTTCTTCTTGATCTACTCTTCTTCCCACTCCAAAACTTCAAGAGGACACACCAAATGCTTCAAACTCACAAGGAAACAAAGGTTGGACGAGATATAGGGCTCTGAGGGAGAATGGGGGCGATCTTGGGTCGCACAAGCTAGCGTAAATTGGGGGCAAACCCTTGGAATTAGGGTTTCATCAAACAGCGATGACTCGCCGAGTTCAGGATATGGACTTGCCGAGTCACCAACTTAAACGTGCCCCTGGACCGCATCCCTACTCGGCGAGTCAGACCTACAACTCACCGAGTCCAAGGCTAAAATGACAATTACTTAGATAAATCTTTTTACGTACCAGGAACCAGGTGCTACAGCGTGAGGCCGTGAACATCTAGGTATGATCAAGTCAGTGAGAGCTTGTACCATTGTGAATGGTTTTAGAATCACGAGGCCGTTGATAGTATGCTTGATGAGTGGTATAGTTTTATCCATCGGTAAGATAAGTAGGCTCTAAAATCCTTTTTAGTTAGGTGTTAGGAATATGATTACTTGGGAGGTATTTTGGAAGTGTTGACTTGGGTTCTCAATTCTGAATGGATATGTAGTGATCCTTGTTGGAGGAAGTAGCTTATGTTATGCTTGAAGGAGGTAATCGTCAAAATTGAAGGTCGGACCCATGGGTTTCTGTTCTTAAGGAGTTCTCTTTTAGGATTCAATAACACTGTCATGTTAGGAGTGGGGTAGCCTTATCTTGGTGGATACATTAATGGGAGCAGAGTGGTAGGTCGAGTGTTTTGGAATAGGGTCTTGGAAAGCCCATAAAAGACTGTAGGTGAAGTGCCTACGAGGACATAGAAAGGCGGATTTCCAACATTTCTTTATCTTCAAAACGTTGATAAATTATCAAGCTCCTAACTTTATGATTTTTTGTTAGTAAATCTTGGTTGATGAGTATATTTTGGTCCTTATAATTATATTTAGGTGGAGTTTGAGTCATCCAAGGATTTTTTTTTTTTTTTTAAATTTTTTGGCCTCTTTAGGTCTAGGGTTTTGTGTGAAGTTGTTAGAGTCATGCAAATGGATAAAGTTGGAAAGTTTATCCATTAAGTTAATATTTTAAAGTATTCTGCAAAGTTCGAGCCTTGAGCTTAAGGGATTAAGTGTTTAATGAAAGAAAGGAAATCTACCTGAAAAAACCAAGACGACCATGGATAGTTCATGACACAAAGATTGAGTTTGATCTATGACTATTTTGTCGTGGTCGCGACGCGATTAAGGACTGCCTGCGATACGTTTACATGTACGATCTTTACTTTAACCACAGACTTTTGACAACTTTTACTTTTGGTTAAACTTGAAAGATATGGTTTTTTGATTAAGGATCAGTCCTTGACTGTTATTAGGTAATCGTGGTATCAGATTCGGTGGTTGACTCGCAATCGAGGCTTGTGGTAGATCAGCTAGCGCCACATGAGTTTTCTCATTATATTGCATGTGACATTGTAAATCCTTTGGTTAATAGGTTATAGATGCTATAAGGATACTAGTACGCTCGTAGAATATGGAGTCTTGGTATGTATGTGATTGAGTATGGTATTGTTATGTGTCATGATTGGTTCAGTTTTGGTTGTTTTTCTTGATCGCTAAATGAATGCCGTATTGATGGAACATAATTTAAATTTGATAGCTTGAGAACTATAGTCTAGGCCTTATTGAATGGTTCGTGTTTGATTTATTGCTCTCGAGTAGGATCATTTTTCAACTGTTTATCTTATTTATTAACTACGTATGATTATGCATTAGTGAGGTGACCGCCAATACTAGTAATAGACTTGATATGGTCATGGGACGGCTGAGAGATGGTGGGTGTATTGTAGATGGGGGCCGATGGCTGAGAGTCACGGGAGGGTCTAGTGTAGGTTGCCCATGGTTAATATATATATATATATATATATATATATATATATATATATATATATATATATATATATTGAATGTCGTATTGATGGAACATAATTTAAATTTGATAGCTTGAGAACTATAGTCTAGGCCTTATTGCATGGTTCATGTTTGATTTATTGCTCTCGAGTAGGATCATTTGTTCCACTGTTTATCTTATTTATTAACTACGTAAGATTATGCATTAGTGAGGTGACCACCAATACTAGTAATAGACTTGATATGGTTATGGGACGGCTGAGAGATGGTGGGTGTATTGTGGATGGGGGCCGATGAGAGTCATGGGAGGGTCTAGTGTAGGGTGCCCATGGTTAATATATATATATATATATATATATATATATATATATATATATATATATATATATATATATATATATATATATATATATATGTTATGTTGGTAGATAGGGTAGAGCTCAGATCCTTTGCTTGTATACATTGTATGTATGGTGGAATATGGGGTATACTGGAGAAATCAATAAGCCGTGTGCTTATATTGTTTAATTTAAATGTTTTTCACGTTATTTGAGGGAAGGGCAAGACTTGACTGTACACTTTCATCGAAGATTGATTGTTACTAACTTCTGCTAGTTTTTACTATAAATTAACTATGTGTATGCTTATGTTTTTACTATAATGGCAAAATGAGGAAATTTTGTGAACTTCTAATGACAATACATAACTAGTTTACACTCGAAATTTCTAATAAAAAAGGAATTGTTGCATTTTCATGGAACATCCCACAAACGAAATAGTTGCAAATTCATGTTGGAAAATATTAACGTGGCACATCAGAAAAGTGGCCCAGAAGAAAAGTGAAGTTCTAATGACACATCTAGTCGGCCACATCAGAAAAGTAGCCCGAACAATGACCATTGCTCGGGTCATTTTTCTGATGTGAACTTCTAATGACAATATTAATCTATTTTGTCAAAACTATGTGTATGCTTATGTTTCATGAAAACTATTACCACTTTTTTGATGTGGCCGACTAGATGTCCCATACTAGTTAACGATACAGAAATAATTTAAAATTGGTTCCATTTTACAGAAAATATAAATATATAATCTACTCTTAAACTAATATCTAATTTTATTTATGGTCACGACAGAACTTGAACCCTCGACCTCAAAATAAGAAGGATACCACCTGATATCCTAACCAGAAGCCTTTTAGTAACTTTGGGTTCTTAGCTTGGAAAATCTATGCGAATCCAAAGAAATGGGGGCGTGATCATCGTCTTAATTAATAAATAGCGGGTAGGAGTTGTTTCAAATGTTATTATGGAGCTACAAACTAGTGGGTACCATTTATTACACCCATTCATTAGTCTCTTTTGAATAAAGAACTATTTAAGAAAACCCACTTTAGACATGAGTCATGAACCAAGTATGGCACTGTAACTAAATATTAAACAAGTACTTCAAGTCAACAACTTTTCGGTTTCACTGTAAAACTAAAAATAAAAGTGAATATAAACTCTAAATCCTAACCGTCTAGATTTAGTAGATATCTAACATATTAAAACCTATAGAGTGGTTTTTTTTTTCTTCGTTTTCTGAAGTGCAACGAAAATTGTGGTTCTTTTAAAAATAAAATTCAAAACTGTCCGTGGTTGGAGTTTTCGATTTTGGTATTTGGTTTTGGTTTTTCTCTAGATGGGTGGAGATAATTCTTCTAGGTGATGGCAATATTTGAATACAAGATCTCTGGTGATCTAGTATGTTTATTATTTTGCAGGATTTATCAGATAAACATAATAGTAATTAAAGATTTCGAGATCCTCAAACCATATTTAATTTGCACTACATATTCAATCACAAGTGCTAGTTGGGGTCGGTTGATTTTGTGACTATTATAATAGATTTTGGGTTACCGCAACTATATATATGGACAGGCCACAACATCATTCTTAGACACCAAAGAACATAAACACATTCCAAACATACACAAATGGATGCACTAAAAGCACTTCACTGTGAATTGATGATTATGAATGCTAAAAACATCCAAGTTACCAACTCCAGTGGTTACTTGTTTGTTAGATGTTATCTTTCAGCTGGAAACAACAAAAGGGTTCGTTTAGATAGC